TTTTTTTTTCTTTTGGCCAAGGAAGGCAGTAAGATGCATACTTTTAATTTTTAAAATTTACTCTTTGGGAACAAAACCATTCAGCTATGCTTAATCTGATATTTTTTCCAATTACGATGGAAAGCACTAACGAATGTATCACTTTTTTAACTTTGCTTTGTAACACTTGAGTGCTTACCACTTGATGTGCCATTTAAAGGATAATTAATGGATAAACTAAAAGGATAATTATTATGGAGTTTAATATAGCAGGCAAACTGCTCATTAATCCTTACAAGCATAGCTTCGTTATTATCATTTACTTAAAAAGATACCACAGGGAACTGGTATTTACCACCACATTAACTACATATTATATACCCACACTGTATGTTTCTACAATAATTTTGGCTTATTTAAAAAATGAATTTTATTTAAAATAGCACGTCTGTTGGCTAATCGATACTCTGGAAAGTTACTTATAACCTACATATGTTTTTCTCTCTTCCAATATTCATACTGAAGCTTCATTTAAAAGAAGTTAAGCAAACTTACTAAATAGCAATTCCCTGCACCATCAGATAGACATTAAAAATTATAAACATGAAAAAATTAAGATATATAGAAAAGGATATATAAAATGACATTAATTGAAATTGATCAAGATTGAAGAGAAAGCACAAATGTAAATAATCATGTCAATTTTATGCAATGTTATTTAAATAATCAATAAAAATCTTACAGAATGTTTGGCATATAATTTGCTCTAATAATAATTTGCCCAGCATTCATTTAAAAAGCTATAGTAATTTTTACTGAAAAAGGAAATGCACCAAAATGTTAAGATTATGCCTGGGTGGTAGGTTCAATGGAGATTTTTCCCTGCTTTCTACAGTTTTCTCATTTTCTATTCTAAGTTTTCTTTTTTAAACTAAAATCTTCTTTTCAAAAAGTAAATAATATATCACAAGTCCACCTACTCTTCTTTTGTAGATAAGAATTCAGATAGAAGTGGTAAGGTTAAAAAGAAAAAAAATTTTTTGACAATGTAGTAATAGATCTAACACTTCAGCAAGACTTCTAAATTCCTTCCTTTATTAAAAATAATTTAATTATTCTTTAAGGATATTTTAATAAGGAGAGCCTGGGATATCCTGGGAAGAAGAAAAATATAGATGTTTTTGCTTATTTAGCTTTCTTTTTTTTTT